TTAATGAGCAGCTCTTCAATGTTTTGTTTTATTCTCAGTTAAATGTGTGACCCCAGACTTGTTTACTGCACCTTACTCAAACTCTATTTTGAATACAGAATTATTAATTTCATCATGGGCTTTCTTATGGGGTTTGTTACAATATCTGAGTGCTTCCCAAGCATTTAGTTTATTCAGTTCATTTCATAATTCTTTTTTCTTTGCAACATCCTTGTAAGATGAGGGCTGGTATTATCCCCATTTTATAGATGGTGAATAGAGGGGCAGAAATTAAAGTAAAGAGTATCCTCTAATTTTGAGTCCCTGCTTTGACCTGATTTTTCAGAATATGTAACATTATATAACACTTTACATGTTCAAAGCACAGCTCAGTTGCAGCTGTGAGTGGTAAGCACTTCTGCAAATCAGATCCTAGGGTCTCAAGTTGAGCTGAAAATGAGGAACAATCAGTGGCCACCTGTGAAAAGTTTGATTAAAGGGACTTGCCCAGGATCACATAGGAACTCTGTGGCAAAGCCAGGGATAGAGTTCATTTCTCCGGGGCTCATCCAGCTGCCTTACCCATGAGACCATCCTTTCTCATTCGGCAGTCACCTGCATCATTCACTATACACATTCCAGCTACAGCAACAAACAAGTTAAGGGTCCTTTGGACAACAGAATTCATCCTGATTCATCCTCAGAACAGGTCCATCCTGTACACCAAATAAGGCAGAGGATCTGTGGGAAATTAGTATATAGTCATGTAATTAAAGACTGTATCATAATGCCTAGATGCAAGGGGGCTGAATTTAAAGTTGTGGAGGTAAGACTTCTCAAAGAAATGGTCCTAAAGATTTTTTTTAACTTGGGCAAAACAATATATTTTCCCATAACCTCATTCTTGGAAATGGTTGAACAGTTTTGGCCGAAACTTTCAAAAACTGAGCTGAAATTCTCTATGGTGCCTGTCCATCTAAGTCTGAATAAACATTTATTTCAGCATCTTTCAGCATTTCCACTAGAAAGCCTTTTTAATACCCTTATAATGCAGCTATTAAAATTGACTTTTGAAATTGAACAAGAAATGCAGGTTATCAGCCTCCAAATTAATATTTTTATAACTGGCTGACAAAGCATGGGGCAACATAAAAAGAGACTGATACCTAATGCCATATCGCAATCACAAGAAAATGCAGTGGTTCTGTTCTGCTTCACTTCATTGAGTAGGCCCTACATTCCTTCTGCACTCACACACCAAAGAAATTGAGGATCAGTCCCGAAATAGACATTGCACAAAATGATGTGAAGAGTGAGATTTAAACTGAGAACAGTAAGGAAGCATATGGTTTGTTTTGACTCTTCCAGGCCTGATATTTATGACTTTCCTTATTGTGTCATGTCAAATTTAGATTAAAAGCTCTCTGGCACAAGGACTTCATTTATACAAGTTGAACCTCTCTAGTCCAACACTCTCTGGTCCTGTAACATCCGTGGTCCGGCATTAGCTGGATGTCCACTTTTTGCAGTGTGGCCAAGTTTCCTGTGTTCCCATAAATTCTGTGTACAGCCACCAGACCTGACTCTCAGTGTTCTATGCTGTTATTTAGCTCTAATTTACCCCTAAATGTCCTCTAAGAGCCCAGTAAGAAGTGGAAATATTGGTAATGCTGCAAGATAATATTGACTTCCTGGGGTTCCGCAAATTCTCTGGTTTAGCACTGGTCAGGTACCCAAGGATAGTGGACTAGAGAGGTTCAACATATATTTGTTACCGTGAGATAACTGGAATCCTTTTGGCTGTTTGAAAATTGGAAAAAAATAATTCTAAATAGCCACCACAGTTTGTGACATTAAATACACAAAGCTATGCAAGTGGAAGATTTATTAAAGCGTGGCAATCTTAGGTCCTGATTCAGAAGAGCACTTAAGCATAAGCTTAACTTTCAGCAGGTTTTAAGTACATGTTTAAGTGCTTTCCTGGATAGGAAGGGTCTTGCATACATACTTAAAAGTTTTCCATCATTGGAGCTTTCCATGTTTTGTCACTTTAGATTTCATTACTTTACTGTTCATTTTTTTTATTTCATAAAGTGAAATAGTTTAGTTGATTAATGATTAAGTAGCACAGTTGATAAGATCTTGGAAAGCAGCCAGGGACAATGGCTAAATGCCTATTTTCATTTCCCATTCTGTTTTATTTTAAACAAATTTTTCTTCTCTCCCATTTTCTTTCTCTGAGATTCCCAATTATGCATAGCTTTTAATCACATCACAAATGTTACTCAATGATCATTTGTTATTTTATTTTTGTCAGATTCATCATTACTGTCCAAAACTTATTTCCTAGCACTAAATCATAACAGTATCAAATCCATCTTGGAAAAGTTAAGGGAGAAATACAAAATAAGATCGTTTTTTCAGGTGTGAGTTGGTGAATTCCATAAAGGGTGTTTGCATTGTGTAAACCCTAAGGTGTGGCATAACTGTCAATTTTCTTACATTACAGCATAATTGAATGACAAAAAACACAATGTTTGTTTTGTGTTGAAAGAATATGTATGTCCCTCTCTTTAAGGAAATATTAGACTTTAAAAAGTATATTTGACTATTATGTCTCATGTGGTTGGTGAATGGAGAGTTGAGAGCAATTCATCTGCCCAAACTTCCTATTTTTTTGTCCTAACTGATTCCTTTTTTCTCACTCAACAGCTTACAGGAGGGGAACTTCTGATTATGGGGTTTCTTACATTTTACAATGAAATTGGGGTGGGTGAGGCCATAAAAAAATCCAAAACAGGAAAACAATTTCACATAAAAGCCAAAAAAATTATAAACCACTGAGTTTCACCCAGCCATGCTTGGGACAAAGGTATCCATCAAATAACTATAACTATATAGTTGAATAATATTAAACCAGCATAGAGAGTACTGACATGTCTCCTACTTTGTTACTGAGCTACTGAATTGAATATTAACACCAGTTTATAAAAATACCCCATCTCTGAAGGTCTCTTCAGCAGTTCCCTGAGGATATGGAAAATATTTATTTACAAAACGTGTGTAAGTCCACACAAATGTTTGTATCATCAAAGCATAAAACCCTATTATTTGTGCCAGATTTTTTTAATACTACTATTTCCTATGATAGGTTAAATAGATCCACTCCATATTTTTTATTACCTTTGTTTTTATTACCTTTAGTACTTTTTCAGTGCCTCCTCAAAATTCATAACTCTTGGCTACAATTCTGTCACTAATCTCTGCTCATAAACTTCTCATTGCTGTGGTTGCCCTAGTCCCAATAATGACAGGCTGCTCTTTTTAAGTAAAGAAGACAGCTAACTCTCTAATATGATTCAATATGTTGCGAGGTAGTTTCAGTACTTTTTAATTATCTGAACACAGAGCATTTGATTGTCATTTTTACGGAGTCTATTTTTTTCCCCCTCACCATTCCATTTTTATGCGCAGACACTCCAAAATGATTCCCAACTTAAAATGAAGATACATCATTTTTTTGAAAAGTAATAGGCCTGGGAATCTCCTAATATTTTTTACCCCCAAAGATTCCAACTTTGACAATAACTAAATAATCTGTCTTTCTCTATGGTACATCTTATGACACCCTAATTCACATTTAGTAACAATATACACTATGCATGGTTTTCTTGATATCAATGAGTCCATTCACGGACTAAGCTACTATTCAATATTAGCAAGGGTATTAGAATCTGTCCCCATTTCTGAAACTGACCATCAGCGGCTGAATCAGGACGCCTGGGGCAGAGCAGCTGGGGTGCTGCCGGGTTGGTCCAGTAGCGCCCAGAGCGGCGCTGCGGGACCAACCGGCAGC